GACAACATTCCTTTGGTTTTAGAAACACCAGTAGGGTCTGGTCCTGGTGATGTTCATGCACAAGAAATAGAATTATTATATAATCTTGTAGGCAAAAAAGAAGACGACGTTTCCATGTTAGACTTGAATCTGTAAAGAAAAAGTAAGCATAAGCATGCAAGCTCACCAATCACACATTTACACTATTTAAAGTAGACAGAGACATATAAATTAAAATGAACTTTTTATCCCCAAAACTACTGTACTGATATGACATTACCAATATTAATATTATTAATCGGTAACGATTTATTATCTATACTAACATACTCTGTATCAGTGTTGCGGCATCAGGTTCCATAAGAAGTATTTATATGTCGAGTCAACAACCGCGGGAGAACAATCGATCGTCGAGATTTAGCTAAAAGTTCAATCGGAGCTGTGGCATCTCCTACATTTAGTTACAAGTAATGACAGCTAGTGACCTTTAAACCAGGCTTTTACTACTCACGACTGTGTGTCAATGCGTAGACACTAATTAATTCGTCCTCGAGCGTGCCTCTGTTCTCTACTGTTGAGATTAAATCGGTAATCCACAGGTTGGTAAGTGTATTTACGACTATAACAACGCGTTTTTAGAAAACAGTTAATTATCGTATTTGTAATCGCGGACAAGAAGCGATTACTTTTTCCGATATAGGGATTAGTGGTTCAACGATTATATTGAATAGTTCAGGGAATAAGATATATTTTCAGAGTAATAGTTACTACATTTATTAATTAACAATAATGTTATATGAAATAATGGAATAGAAAAGATCAGAATACTTTGAACACACCGAAACTAGCTGAAATCTACGCTGCTTTATATCTTCGCAATTTCTAATAATCTATTATTAGAAACGACATGTCCACTATTATCGTAAATTGCAATACAAACAAATTTCTTCATGAATGCTACTAATATAAACTAGCAATGATATTCCTGTATTTCCAATATTATTGAAGATCAAAAGAAGTCTGTGAAATATTGATTCTAATATCTAAAACTTGTCAAAGCTGTTTCTCCTGTATTAATGTACTAACTTCTTTTGATACTTATTCGTTAATTTCACATTGACCGTCAACGTCAATGTTTCATGTAATGTAGATCTTCGTGGAGATCTTTATTTATATACCTCTATGAACCCGCCCACCAACCTCTGAGGGAGCCTATTTTTTTATACACGTAGTCGAACAGTCTCCCGTCACTCCTCCAGCATATTTTTTTCCCACCCAACATAAAAGTCGTCATCTTTGTCATAATGACGATGAAACGTAAACGAGTCATTCTTTCTTAAGGCACATAAATAATAAATAATGTCATCATAAAGACTGCAGTGACTTTTATTTCTGTTAGCTTCGATAGCATACTTTTTCGCATGAAGCTAATGTCATGATTGATCTGCATAAACAAGTACTATGTTTGAATTAGCTCGTGATGAAACCGTTTCACTAAAAATGCTAGATTAACCTGTATAAATTGTGTATTATCGTTATTCAAATTATACTTCCTCGATAGCAGATCTTGCATTACATTTCACCATTTAATTTCCTTTTTTATTATACTTACGCAGTTAATTGATAATTAATAAATATTTACTGCAAGAATAATGGGCCGATCTTTTCCAAAAGTAATTAATTGATTTTGTATTTTCAGCATCGCCTCATGTTCGAACGAGTACCTCTAACTTTTCCATTGCCCAATCAAACTATACTTTTTTGGACTGTGTTTACGCTATGATTTGTTTATTCTAGCTATGTTCGAATTAGCTTTATTGACGAATAAAATACAACAATTGAATGCAAAATTCTTTTGTCTATATGGACCGAGACAACTGAGTGTGACTTGGTTCTGAACTGAGGATTATTACACAAAAAAGGTCAAAAGCGCTACACTAAATTGCTCATTTGAGTCATCAGAAATCAACCATACCTTTTTGGTAATTACAATTTGCGTGGTAATTGATTGACATAGCTCAGGATGGCATAAAACAATCGAATGCGAAATTCATATTACATCAATGTCTTTGTTGTTGGAATATATAATAAGTGGCATTTAACTCGACTCGGAACGAATACTTTTGTATATCTTCGTTAACCATCAACATCACTTGAAAAAGAGGCACAACTCAGTTCAACGAGGAGTATCTTATCCGTGTAAATTTAGATTCCTCCCCCATTACGTAAAAAATTGCGTAGTGCAGACCGATAACCGATTCCGTTCGCTAGAGAAGAAATGAGGCAAAGGTAAATAGTGGTTTGAAAACATAATTTTGTAATAGAAGTTGCCATATACAGTGTGTAACAAAAAAAAAGGAGATATTTTTTTTGTTTGGTAAAAACGCGTATAACTTCCAAAAACAATCCAATTCGCGTCATTGAAAAATAAAATAAATAACAACATTTGATGCATGTTTTTGTTTATAGCACACACATTATTCTGTCTTTCCAATTATCAAAAAATTGCTATTCAAAAATGACTTCTGCCAAAGAAACACAGCGTCAAACAATATTACACTTATGGAATCAAGGCATAACCAATGGTCAAGAAATACATAGGAGGACAAACATACCTCTTGCTATGATTTATAAGAATATAAAAAGCTCAAAAAAAAAAAGGAAAGTGTAGCTCACGCAAAAAGAAACGATTGCCGAAGAAGATTACTGGTGAAGCGTCCAAAGCGTGTTGGGACAGTATATTCGAAGATACTACTCTCTCAACCAAAACATTGGCAAATATGTTAACTCAGAAAACTGTTAACGTCTCTCACATGACTGTTTCAAGGTATTTGCCCCGTATTGGTTACTCCAAAAGCCTACCAATGGCTATGCCAATGCTCACCGAAACTCATAGAAAAACGAGTACAGCGGGCAAGACAGCATCTTAATGATAATTGAAAAAAAAAAAAACAACAACATTATTTTTTGATAAAACGGCATTCCAATTATTTAGAAACACATTGAAAAGGGTGAAAGACCAATTCATCCTGTACCAAAAGACAGAACAAAAATTTTTGCTTGGGGTGGATTTTGTGTAAGGAAAAACTTCTCTCTTTTGCTTAAAACAAATCATAGATGCAAATTTTTATGTTGAAATTTTAGCTCAACATTTTCTGAAATTAATCAGATGCTTGGCAAGAGCTGGAGATTCCAGCAGGACAATGACCCCAAGCATACAAGTAGAGTTGCTAAAGATTTTATTCAGAAAAATATATGGACTGGCCATCAAATAGTCCTGATTTAAACCCAATTGAAAATCTTTGGAATATAGTTAAAAGCAATGTTGAGAGGCGAATGCCCAAAAATTGTGGAGAGTTAAAACAGTTTATGGAAGAGGAGTGGCAAAATATTCCATGAGCAACTCTAATTAATTTAGTAGACTCAATGAAACGACGATGTGAATTAATTATTGAGAGCAATGGTGAGCGTATACCATATTAATTGTTATTGAATAAATTTATGAGTTGCAAGCTTTTATTTAAGCCATAAAGCATAAAAATCGACACAGTGGTTACTGAGTAATAATGATTTAAAAATATCTCCTTTTTTTTTGTTACACACTGTATAGAGGCAATAAGTAGAATTCATGAAAAGGAACGTGTATACCCGTTTATGATTTGGTAGAATGTGAAACGAAGGAATCCCAACTTGAAGTTTTGGTTTGTTTTTTTTTTCGATCAACTTTTTTCAATAGCTCGACCATCACAACTTAATGAGCAGAACAATGAATTGTATCAAGAGATTAATATTTTCATATGTTTATCTCCTCGCTTTGTTGAAATACATTTTATGTTTGACCAGGCATATTCTTATATATTTGATAATAACATTTGTAATTTATTTTGCATATTGCATGGAAGTAAATAATACCTGTATACCAATTACATTTTGCGCATTAGTGTCTATAGTATTAAACACACTTGTTCTATTTTAAACGTATTGATGAGTGACAGATTTGTTTCATTGAAGAATGGAATCGTCCCTTGAAATTGGGTTACGCAATAACACCCCTGAATCCTGTCGGTGCATGCGCATCTTTATTTGTTACACACAGAACCCCATAAATGTCAACTACCAGTACTCAAGTCTAATAAAAGCTCACGACGCTGATTATAAGGCCAAAAAAATAAACACATATACCAAAAAGAACAAATCCTTGCTGTTTATCAGATATCAAGATTCTAACGTTGGCTGATTGAAAACTATTAGACCCTGGTATGAGGATGCAACAATCCAGCCAACTATCAGGAAAAGTTGTTTCACTAATCAGCCTTCTCACCAGAGATGTGTACTTCTGTTTCACACAACCAAATACAAAGCTGCAAATGGAATGGGTATTCGGATTCACCAAGTAAAATCGTACGGATGAATTTGGTCAGCGCCGACTGTATGTGAAATTGGTACATACACAACCTATGTTCCATTGCAAATTGGGCATTAATGTTGAAAATTTACCTTGTACTGTAAATATTCGGATGATTGTTGTATAAGTGTATCTCTGAAAGCGAAATTAATTATTTCACGAATTACTTTCTCCCACCAAGAAAAGCACACCTGTTTACCATAAATATGGAAAATAAAATAATATTAAGTAAATAGTGACTACAATGCATGACAATGATTGGTTCTAGAGTGAAGAGAGATATGGAACTTATTAATAAATAAACAATATAAGGCTTTTATTAAATGTTAGTATTAGTATCTACGTGTGTTTATATTATACGTCCACTGAAAACTTTTCTTGATGGTTAAAGATTTTTAAAGTCCAATCAGATGTAAACATGTATTAAAAGTACGGTCGTTACATTTACGGTACAATATTTCTGGGCGGGTTTTCCTTATGTATGTATTTAATAGTACAAGTTTAATGCGTATACTTAAGAAATGTTCACGGTATAATATTACTTGTAATATTTTTTTTGTTAGCATTGTCTGTCATTTTGCCAGATGTAGATGTGAGGCTCATATCATTTGCTGCTCTAAATGGATGTTGATAATCCAAGAAGCGAATTTGGATTAAGCAAAATAGTATACACTTAAATATTTAGTACGTTACCGATTGTAATAACAGCATGTCTGAAACTCGTGTCACCCCCCACAAAACGTATAAAACGAACCCACATTCACCTGCCATTTCAATAACTTCCACTGACATACAATGCCAAGAACCAGGAGAAGACGCCATCGAATACAACACGTAGCACGGCTCGTCAACAGACGCACCGCCGTAACCAGAACTCATCGGTGGCATCTCGGGCGGCCGCCGTTAGTACGCTTTCGTACTATATATATCCGTTTTACAGAGGGGGGACAAAAGTTTCCAAACACCCTTTGTAAAATGTTTCTGTCAGTTGAGAAGTCTTAAAATTGACCTACTATTGTAAATAAATCAAACTTTTCTATATTTTATTGCCATAAACGTGGTGATAACTATAGAACTATTTCCAGTAACAACCGTAAAATATGATCGACTGATACGTTACAAAGGCACGGAAAGAAATTCCGAAACATAATATCGAAAATTTAGTCGATAGTATGCCACGATGAATTCAAGCTGTGATTGCAACAAACGGGGGTCCAACTGAGTACTAGTTATTTATATTCAACAGGATGGAGACATGAATAAGCAGATTTAGAAGCAGCCACAAGGTAGATCGGAGGAAGAATTTCAAATATCACTACTGCTTTTACAGTGCAAACCAGTCAATATGTCTCCGGTACTGGTCCCATGATACGATTTGCAGAATTTGACGTAAGAATCCATCACAGTGCCGAAAAAAACCTGTATGAAAGAACTACCAAAGCGAAACTCGGCTCAAAAGTGTCAATTGTAGACGAATTAGACATTTATAGCAACGAACTTTGTGTTGAACTTCACAGTTTTGACTTTCCATCCCTTAACACTTCACAAATAACTTCAACAACCCTCCCAACAATACCACTCCTACTCCTAATCAGTCACGAAAACGAAAACAACCTAATAAAGCAGATAACCCAACCCCACTTATTTCAGAAAATCAACATCACCGATTCCTATCTACGATAGAAAGCGGGAAAAAACAATGCAAGGCAAAAAAAGGGCAACTTGCCCGCCTAAGGAATTGAACACTAATACAATCGGCATATGATATTGTTCATAGCTTATCTTTTCTATCAATCTACTATTAGTATGTCGTGTCGCAGTAATACATTTCATAGCCTATTCGTTACAATCAACTATTGTCATCAATATGCAAATACAATAAATAAATATGCATATCGTGTCTCGACCAAATTCTTTGTATATGACCATGAAAGAAAGACCATATTACACACAAATTTCCTGGCCTCATAAATTCTTATCTAGTTTGGATTAAAAAATCTATATTTCTTCCTATTTCGGTTAGACTGTAAATATGTGACTTTTCCATATTCAATGGCTTCAGCTAATATGTACAGATTTTCTTGCTTTGTTGCCCCGAATGCTGAAAGCAATACATCAATACGCGAATATTAGTCTTGCAACCATTACTTTACTATGGACCATGTCCGGTTGATTGGAAAAGATTGTAGGCGGTCCACAAGCGAATGAAAGGAAGCTTGTGATAGATATTGAGCAATCATTGAAAGGTCTTACCCGAGAACGATGAATACATACGTCTGTCATTATTGATTTGCTCAGACTGATGTTAGGAAATGTATATGAACGGAGCGGTTCTTGTGGCACACATGTTTTATTTCCGCTGTTGTTGTTACGGGCTGGAAAGGAGAGTGATGATAGATTGACAATTCACCATCGCGTAATACTATCGATAAGCAGTGCTTGCATGAGTGTCAGAAATTTTCAATCGAAGATTTCGAGCAGGCGTAAACTGCGCGACTTTATTTCAGAATCCTATTAACTCAACCATATTGACATTGTATGGAAGCTCATTATATTTACCAGCCAGTAATTGGAAGAGAAGTACAGCCGTTGTCGAGCCAATACTCGGGGGAGAGCGAAACGAATATTGACCTTGGGCTTTAGCCTTTTTCCAACGAGATCCTTGATTACCTCTACTTCGGTAAATCCGCTAGTGACGTTTGGTGACCTTTTAGTTGGGTTTAAACGCTCACGATGCTAGGTTCGATTCTTGCGTACGCCTTCTCTGGATTTATAATTAACCTCGAGTAAATACGTCTATTTCTCTCGGTGGGATTAGATCGAAAGCCTATAGGTTGGGAAACTTTTCTAACTATTGCGCTAACTAAATTAATTATAAATCTTTATTGTCAAGGGAGGGAGTAATCGAAGACAAGGTCGATTTCTCCAAGCACCGATCAAGAAAGCGTTTTTAAGCTTTATCGGCGCTCCACAATATAGATCAGAGAATACAAAAAAATACGTTGAATATTTTATGTTTATTTGATTAATATTATTAAGGAATATAGTATCAGATTCAAGATCGAATCTATTCAACCGAAGACACCTGCAGCTGAATCCAAATTACAATCATAACTATTTCTTGGCTTAGGCAAATTTCCTGTATCCCTCTGGTGCTGAGTCAGGCATCCCTGGTCATAGTCCCCCCATAATATCACATACTATTCTATCGATTATTCTCAGTATACGTCTTTGACTTTTGCAGCGTCACTGTCTGTTACATTTTCATGTTATTAATTTTGCTGTATTGATTGTTGCGGGATTCAGGAGAGAATACGTCACCTATTTGCACGGTATCACAACAAGAAACATGTTGGTTCCGAGATATTATTGCCCTTAAGACTCTACAGGACCGGATATATAAGGAAAGTCGTGCTCTGTTCCTGCGTACACACCCGAATTGTATGAAAAATTTGCTGCGAGAATCTTGAACAGTACGCGAGTTCCCAAGTGTTTCAGCTGTGGCAAAAAAGATTGGAGAAGTTACTAGTAACAAGTCAATGTGCTCTTTCGACAAGTCGCCAAGAACTATGTTTGAAAAGTATAGTAAGTAGTAGAACTTGAATATTAACAAACTTTTTGAATATTAATCAATTTATCTATTTACGACAGTGACGATCTCTAAGTGAACAAAACCTTTACGAATTCATCGACGATTACGTTGGCGGGATATTCTTCACTTGCCACTAATGGAAGTTAATGAAATGTTGTTGAATAACAACAAGGAAATGACGTCTAAGCTTAGGGAATTCATTGTGAGGGCCGTAGAGAAATGGATAATAGGGCATGAAGCAATCAGGGAATTAGATAGCCTGACGATAAATTTACCGATCCCATATAATTACAACATTGTAGCACAGTTACCTAGACGCTATAATAATTGCCTCTCATGTAATAATAATAAACTTCCAATTGACTGACATATGAGTTCAAAAAATTTCTCGTAATATCAATGCAGCGTAACTTCACTTATCTGAAAAAGCCTTGATGTAAGTATGAAGGCTAATCTCTATGGACAGAAAAAGCATACGATGCAAGTGAGGACGAGATTAAGCAAGATGTTATATTCTATTAATAATGTTAATAATGTCAGCAATAACATGACTACAATTATTATTTTTTTTATATAGATTGCTGAGAAATATGGTCATTCACTGCAAAAAGAAAGTTTATATAGTGATGGAGAATAAGAAATAGAGCCAAGTGAAGATGTTGGCAACAATGAAGTTAACTGGGAACAAGCAATACTACAAGAGCATGGAAACGTGTCGAAGCTCACTGAATATAGAAAAATAAATGAATGTGTGGATGATTTGCAGTAAGTTTTCAGATTTGACACTCTCATCAACCCACTAAAAGCGCAACCCTACACAAATACCATATCATTCATATTTCTGATCCAAATCTTGCACTCAAAAAACTCGAAAACTCAGTACGAAACTTGTTGGAAGGACGACTACAATTTGATAAAACGGTCAGACGGTAATCTGTATTCTTTTGTTCATTCACTGTGTCCATGTACCGTTTCTATAGACCAGAATTAATAACCCAGGACTCACGCCCAAGTCACAATCTTAGAGGAACAGAAGCAGGTGGGCAAAAAGAAGGAAAGGAAAGGGTTGGAGAGGGAAATGCCGTAATGATTCAGTGTCAACGTGAGTTATGAGTTGAGAAATAGAGTATATCAATTATTGATATCTTCGCACATTCCTTATTGAGGGATGTTAGATGTTGGACGTTCATAATCAGTAAGAGTTACGACGTATCTATCTTGATATGGTTTGTTATTCATTTAAAAATTTATTCTATCATGGCTTCCCTTTCCATATAATATTTCTTCGAATAGTTGATATACTGTATACTTAGTATAGAATGTGAGTTTCTGATTCCTAGTTGAATAATATGACAGCATTATATGATAACTAGCGGTGATAAATCTCTTTTCATAACGCATCTAAGCATGCTCGCACGTACAATCTTTCCTCAGCCACCTCCCCTCTTTCAGATCTTCCATCCTATCAACCGAGCCCTGTATTTTACCACCTAATATATGTTTGGTTCCACTTGGACATTAACACTGCATCCAAATCGGACTGCTCGTAATAATTTATCAATATCTTTGGCAAATAAAACGGCAGATTTCTAATGTTATAAGCACATTTATTTATCGTAGCAAAGGCTTGTCAAGAGAAAAATTGTACTCGAATTCATATTACAGAGTGAGAGCGAACTAGTAATATTGTCCACTTATGTGTGGGAAATTTACAAAGTTTGTTATAATAAAACCATAGCTAACAAATGCAAGTATTGATTCGTAATTGGGGTCCATATTTGGCAGCAAACCGCGTCTTTTTGTTTATTATTGTCGTTATAAATTAAGGAGTCGCAGGTATATAAACGTACTACAGTTAAAACTGGATATAACAATGCCTGTATATAACGACAACTGGATCTAACGATGAAATTTGTCACTACCGAAACATTCTTATTTAATTTCACCTGGTTATACCGATTTTTACATTAAAACGCCGTTATTACGTATACGATGTACCAACTATTGTAGCAATATATTTTTATACCGATATTGTTGTGTGACATCCACCCATGACCAATCAAAAATTGTACGAATTTAGAGTATCAGTATACTGTAATAATATTCTCATGTTACTCAATAAACGAACTACCAGCGAAAACACCCAATATTCACAGGACACGCTTGACCTTTGCACAAGAAAAGGATGTGTGTGTTAAACTCTCTAGTAAGCCCAAACCTTCTTAGGGAGCTTACCGAAGAGTATGAGGAAGAGACTGTTTCCATAAAGAACGTGTTAGAAAGCTTGGATAATGTGTTCAATTTTCTCGTTCATCCACCTGCAGGTTTTAATTGCGATGCAAGTACTGTATCAACAGTATGTTCCTTACGAAAACAAGTGCTAATAATAAGAAACAGTCAATGCTAGATTGTTACCAGAATGTAGTTTGTAATATCATTGAATCTTCTTTTTAATAAAACCGAATATCAAGCAAGATAGATAATATATTGTATAACGATATTTTTTTCGTAACTATTATGTTATCGCTATAACGATGAAAATGTGACCTACGGAAGTATCGTTATATCCAGTTTTGACTGTAGTACGTGTGTGTGCGTTGTCTTCCCTTCTCGTAAACGAACAAACCAATGTCAATCTCTGTTTTTTGTAACTAGCTTTTCTTACAGCATCGGAACAGCCACGAGACATGCTAGACTTTCGAGAGCACATAATGGTGTGATAATATTTCAGGTTACCCCTCCAGCTACTATATCAATGGGTAAGCATATATATGATAATCTACACATTAGTTGCTTTCGATTTATAAATTACCTTATATTCATATTGGTCTATTGTTCTATTTGTTTAGACGTTCACATAATATTACCCCCGCCAACAATACTCGCTAACGGACCCTCGAATAAAACGCATAAAGGATAACCGAACTGTCTTATGCCGCCGATACTACTGCCGGCAAATCATTCGAGAAGAAAGTGTGGACACTTATCTTTTGTTCACATGATAATAAGAGAAATAAGAAGCATTATTAGCATTGTTTGATACTGTTATTCTAATCCTTGAGATTTAGATTTAGGAAAGACTGTGAAGTCCTCAAACAGATAGTTTACGATAGTCAACCCCCTTAGAAGAAATTAGATTAGCGTAGAAGTATTAATGTATTATAATAACTATCGCTTTATGAAAAAAATAAAGACTGTTCTGGTTACAAACACATAAATGCTACAAATTGTATTGTTATCGGAACTGTCTATTTGCGTGATAGTTATGATGCAAACAATTTATCGTCTCATCAAGATCTCATGACGATTTAGGCAAGAGTGTTATGATAATAAAAGATCTCTGTGCGATGCAATTAGCGGTATCACAAAAAACTCTGTATGACATGCTGGTTAGGATAACACTAAATATAAAGGCTCTGTACGACAATTTGATGATCTGAGCAAGGTATCCTAACCCGAAAATATTATTTCAAAGATGTCGTAACGAGATTTGTATAATATCAGGGCAAGTTAGCTATGTACGACTCTACCTAATGGGGTTAGTCTAGTCTGATGACACGAGAGATTTATAATAACTACAGGTTTCTATAGATGACGTACTATTTCAATGGCATCACTATGTGTCCTTGTTACATAACCATAGGTCTTGCTTTTTTTATGAAATTGATACTGATGATGCATGAACAATATCCTTATATTAGTTGGTTTGTTCTGCAGAATGTATGCAATCGTTTTTATATTGCCTTATCTCGCAGAATATTGTACCTGCAACCTTATTAACGTTATCATTTTAAAGGCATACATTAGTATGATTTTTACTCTTTTGCTCAAATCCTAAACATCGAGACTCATTTATTTGAAAGCTCCAAAATAAAAATACTTGATATTAGCTCCAGCTAGTAATTCGATACTCGAGAAGCACAATCATACGAGTTTTTTGAACCATAATGACTGTGGACATTCTAATGCATTTATCAGGCTTCTGTTCATTGGCGCACTAAATATAGATAGCAAATAATTTGTTGGCTCTTGTTTATAATGGACATTAATCCTCATATGTTAACTGTTACGAACACAGGGACTTTCGATGCTATAAAAGCGGTTGTAAGATGTTCCGTTATCTTATACTAATGCCGTATTTTTTTTTCTCGCTTCGGACTTCCCGTGTGTAACAGGTGTAATAATTTAACCAATTGAGTGAGTCTGAGAAAAAAAAATGCAATCTTCAACGAAGAACACAGAACTCAAAACCTCACGAAAAATGTATTAGAAGAAGCACAGAAAAATCAGGTCCAACCCATGTGTGACCGCCAATTGATGTGTAAAGCCCCTCACTTTTTTGTTTTGGAAATTTATTGCGGTTTTCAAAATGCTGTGACACCCTGCAATATTATCAGGAATTTACCTGCCATGTCGCACAACCCGACACGTCGTGCAGTCCATAATATTTCTATTTATGGAGGAGAAGCCATCTGAGTGTCCAATGAAAGGATGATATTTAAGCTTGCACGACCTGGCAGGTTGTGCGACATGGCAGGTAATCCCTGCAATTATGTAAAACGAGATTATCGTATCTATGTAATATCAATGAATAGTAGTCAGTTTTTTGGTTGACAATCTGTTACACTAGCAGATACAACGATAGTGGATGCTTTCGAAGGGGTAACAAGAAGGGTTGCTGGTTTGTAATTGGACATACCATTCTCGGAAAACTGTATCCAGATTTATTTGTTTGCACTCTTTTTCCCAAGCCCATAAACAACCGATATTAATATCACATCTCATTGGGAGATAGCCATCATACATTTTGATAGTCCCCAATTACAACAACAACTACTACAATTACTACTACACTACTACAATTCCAACAACTACACAGTCAGTCTCGATAAGTCGGCCAACAATAGCCCGCCTCAAATAGCCGACTTATCGAAAATCGCGTGATCGAAGATATACATTTAATTAAACCGTTTATTAATAATACATTAATATAATTACATCGCAATCGACTTTAATCGTATGATCTAATGACATGTCTAGGGCTTTAATCGTATGATTCTAACGATATGTTTACTGATTTAATCGTATGATCTAATGACATGTCTAGTACTTTAATCGTATGACTTTAATCGTATGATCTAATGCATGTTTAGCTCTTTGGTTGTATGATTCTAATGACTGGGCTGGGGATGTGGTCCACCAACAAAATAGCTGGCGCCGCTGACCGACTTATCGAGAATTTTCAAATAGTGATTAAGCCAGAAAACCGACTTATCGAGACTGACTGTGTATTACTACAACAACTACTACAACATTGTTTGTGGCGTCCTCCTTGCATAATTTTTACTTGGCAGCAGATAAGTATGCTGAATGATGAAGGCAAACCAAGCATATAAATTCATACGATATTAGTATACAGTAACAAGAAACGGTAAATATCATTAGTTTGTTCGCCTAAAGATAACCCAAATAAAATTTAAACAATTATTTTACGCATCCCTGCATGAAGTATCCATGATGAGTGATATTAATGATACTCGAGTTGACATTGACTCACAAACACCACCACCCATACACGTAGATGCATGTACATTCTCACCAGATGGATGCCATCTGGCCACATATTCGGCAACAGAGGGTATAATAACTATATGGAATGTAGCTACACTAGAGAAGAAAGGGAAAAAATACAATTGGCAGAACAATGACTCTCTTTTGAAGCCAAGAGCATATAGAGTGGAGAAGACAAGCTTTAACTCATCGAACGATTCTAAACAAATGATGAGTAATGTTGACTTTGCATTATCTAATAAAGGTAAGGTCGATTATATTTTCTCCAAGATAAATCATCCGAGTTAATATCGAGACTATTATGCTTTGCAGGTAGCTTCGTAGCTCTTAGTGCAATTAGACTTCCACAAGAACATGAAGAAGGTCCGGAATCTTTTGAACTAAAAACTGGCGCCACGTTTTTCACATATGTCGTCAATACTAGCGACTCAAGTCCTATAACCGAGTCTACTTTGACGAATCTAAACGGAGCGATTAAGTTTTCCTCCGACAATACAAAGTTCATTGTGTGTGATGTACGCAATACAGAAAAGAAATTACTTTATATCTTCTCAACACGTAGCTGGAAATTGGAAAAAAAAAACCTTTCGGGTATTTGCGATAAATTTACGAATAGCCTGCAAAGCATATATCACCCATGGGACCAGGTGAAATTTTTGAAAAACTCGCTACTTGGAGACTACTTTATATGCGTGGAGAATGTGAGTATAACTATATTATATTTCTTATAAACGTATTTCATTTCCTTTATTAACGCATCAATTTATTTCTTAGTGGAAACTAGCATCACTCTGGTCGATATCTAAATGTGAACTGATAACTTCCATTCGATGCCCGTCAGATGATTCTTTCCTAAATGCTGATAAAGAACCGGCCGTGTTTGCTCTTTCCCATAACAAGAAAAAGCTTGCAGCATGGACCTCAAAAGGAGCACTTACAATTTTCTCATGTGAAGGCGGTGCCGTACTTTCCTCTACAACGGCGAGCCGCGACACCAAATTTGCGGGAGAGACGAGCATAATATGGATTAGCGGGGATCAATTTGTAATGATAATCAACGCAATTGATGGGATGATGCAAAAACGGGACGTTTATACTTGTGCTACTATTACCGATGACTATATTGAGCCAAAATCAGTATTCCAACCAACAGGCACCAGCAATTTCCATCTATCAGCAAAGTAAAGGACGATAGTCTGATTGAACATGAATCACTACAACCAGAAATACCCGAGCCAGGAGAAATAGACGAAACTTTCTTTGAGTATGACATTAAGAGTGTCGGCAAGCGTGAAGACGTCGAGCATGGGCATCTTGTCATTGGTCAGGGCCTTCTTGTTCTCACAGTCACGCCTAATTGTGTCAGGGAAATGGGGTGGGTTCAATCGAATCTTTCTGTTACCATTGTTGACGCCTCTGAGAATGAGGTTGCCAAAATAATAACGTCATCCGAAAAAATTGAACAAGTACATTATGTTCCCGTGTCTGGATCGAATGACACGATTACTTTCCGTGTTAACAAGAGGACTATATTTAGCACCGCTCCTCTTGGCTCCTGCGAACTACATATCAATGAGCTGTTTACAAAGAATCAGATTGGAAAAATAAAAGACATTGATAGATGGGAGAAAATTAAGAGTGTTGATGGTAGGGATACCGGAAGCGAAATTCACATAGAAGCTCAATTCATCCCAACGGCTCGTCTGGCAATTGACGAAAACTTTACTTGCAGCGAACAGAACATAGAGATCCGCCATCTCTACGCAATCATTTTGTGGAAGCGTTCTGACGGTTCGTATGGTTTGGATGATAGGTTGGCTCGAATCTTCAACTTTGAAAATCACCAGGAGTTACTGACGAGCTTCAAGGAATGGCATAGCCAGATTCTTGATCACCAGATTTATGATAGCAAGACTGCTAAGCTCGATAAGGATAACCGTGCATTGGCCACTGCTCTTGTGATTGCATACATGAGACTCGTTTGCTCGAGATACAAAACTGAATGGGAGTCGTATGTCGTTAAATTGCGCGCATGGATTGACAATCAGCTTCATGACGTTGGCTTACGTATGCATTTATTAGAGACAGCAATGGATTTTGTTATGAATAGATTCGGCACTGATACTAAAGTGCATTCCGGTAAATGAGATATAATCTGTGCTTACTTGTATTACAGCCATAATCCATTGAACTAACTATTGGCTTTTTGTTTTCTAGATATCACTATCAGAACCGTTATCAAATTACTCACTTTTCAGTCCGAAAATGGCTCATTCCCTCTCACTGACAGAATTGCTGCTTTCTATGGATTCAACGCATTGGAAGAATACTTTGGCAACTCTTTTGCAAGCAAAGTTGGCTCAGAAG